CCGCCACGTCGCGTGATTTCATTGCACTTCGCACGTAACTCTACGTGCAGAGTCCTGATGCAATATTTTCTCCAAATTTACACATGCAGCTTGTTACATAAGAGACTTGTGCATGAAATTTAGAAATTCTGTCAAGTACCAGAAATTAGCATGGAAGGCTTTAATCTTCAAATTTGCAATATTTAATTACAATACGAGGAACAAAACACTACAGAAACTGATTTATCTTTCGGTGTGAGACAGCAACAAAAAAATATCAAATCCAGCAGATTGATCTTTACAAGATGGAAGACATACGTTTGACAAGCTCGGGATCTGGATGAGAAAGCTTTTACTGACTGCAAAAGTGTAAAATCAAATATATTAAGAGATTTTTCATTTCGTTGATGAAAACTAAAAGGCAAAATTTGAGCTTCGTATGATTGGGAAGTGAAGCAACTGGAGATATTCAATTGGTGGAGATATTCAATTGGTTTGTGATTCCTGAACTTCTGTTTTTTTCCTAGATTAAAGTTTCCTTTCACTAATTCCTAAAATCTAAGAGGGCCTAATAGAGAAAATTGCAACATCAAAATGAAATTGTATGATAAACTAAAAGTTAAGGGGGGCATTTATGCAGCTAATTTATTCAGCACCAAAAGAAATCAAAAAAGAAAGAAAAAAAAAAAGATCAGCAAATTAAAATGAATATCAGGGGGCCAAAAAACAAAAAAACAAAAAAAATGGGAAGATGGAAAGAGAGGCAAACAAGATAAACTCTAATTATGATATACATAAATTTATATGATTCCAGACAGGAAAAAATATTTCAGAACTAACTTTGTCTTCATTTTTTTCTTTTTTTTTTCTTTTTTTAAAGAAGCGTCAGTTTGTTCATCGTCGTATACTTCCCTCTTCCGAATAAGTCTCTCGTCTGGATCATGTGACTGATCAGGATGAGATAGGAACTGGAGGAGCAGGACATACGACAAATGCGAACAAATGAGAGAAAGAACAAGAAGAGCTCCTATGCGACAAACCTGGCTAGGTTAGGCCAAGCATATACGTCCGAACAATATCGAATTGAGAATGGTTTGAGCCAAATATCCCCGAAAGAATGCCTACAAAAGCTACCCGCAACCTGAGATTCAGGTGTGTCAATCTGTTCTGGGGGCATGAGCGCACCCAAGTGAACGTATCCCACTTCGTTAATTACATCTTGAGGGTTGTCTAATAATAGTCTTGATCTATGGAGTTTTGTTTACATTGATAGTGATAATTAGCATAGGGCTATCAAAGAACGGTTATCTCACAGGAATATTCTGATGTCACCCAAGCTCACGTGGATCCATACAAGCAAAGCGAGTCTCTCACAATCTCGTGCGAATGGCGGCTTATTGACGGTCGGGGCCTATAAAATAACCGGGTCACCTGATAGGAAACATCTCACTGCTTCGAAGCTAGACTGGGTCGTAAGGGCAAAGGGCAAATCGATGTATCCCAAACGGGCAACGACTTATCAGCTAGATGAGGCCCACCAAGAGATGTTGACGAAATTCAAGGGAGTGACGGGGCTCAGCAAGGGGAAGTCAAAGGAAGAGGGGAGTAGTCACTAACAAGTAGAGGAAGTCAAGTCGGAGCACCATGGACCTATCATCCTAAGTCTTCCTGGTCGGTTGACCCAACAAGTCCAAAGATCCGCAGTTAGAAATCAATGAATTGCATCAACCACGGGGATCTTGATAGCCCTAAGATCAAATGAATGAAACTATTTCTTATGACTATCAAGTGGAGCTAGAAGAGGTGGGACTTATACCTACCAAAGTGGCGAGGATGTCGTTGAAAGGAAGAGAAAGGAGGTTCAGTTACAAAACTGGAAACACTCCCAACAAAGAACTTACAGCCTGACTGGGATCAGGGAGTCTTCTAATGACCTAAGCGCACTAGACAACCACCCAAATAGAAATCTATGTTGGGTCAGTCTGGTTGAATAAGCAAGGGTGCTTCTCCTCGGGACATGCATATGATGCAGTTAGCTAAAGTGGTCCTTAGATATTGTGTAGGTCATATTATATGACTTGGGTGAAGGTCATGAAATGCAGCTCGTTTTAAAACCGGCCCAAAGGTCATGCAGAAAAGTAAAAACATGTTTGAAAAAAATCCTAACAATTTTAATCCTAAATTTTAGATTATCTCAATCTTTTATGATCAGGATTTTTCTTTGTAGAAAAATTCACAAATTTACGATCCTAGAGAGCCTAAATTGTATTTTTTGCAGCATCTTGGATAAACTAGTATTTTTTGGAGCAACCTGGATAAACTAAAAAGAAATAGGGAAAACAATCAAAGCATGTGAACATGCAAGAAAAACAAGAAAATAAGCCAAATATGCATAATAAAGACCGGTGCCACTAGGTTGATGACATGTCCCAAAAATAAAAAAGGCGACTTGGCATAGGAGCACCTGATTTTGAGGTCATTAAGCCATCAAATCATAAAAAAAAAACCTCTTTCAAGCTTATAAATCTCACTTGGGGCCGAGTGGGAGTGGAGGTGGGGGGTGGGGAGTCGAATCCTAGTCGAATCCTAGGGCCGTTTTGCTCTTAAGACCCATCGATAACATTCATCCTCCGTAGTCACCAAACACCGTTGACCATTACCCGTCGGCCACCGTAGACCACTTTTGTCGCCATTGATGGTGGACTCATCGAGTAACAAAGTACAATGTTGAATTAACAAGTACTCTGTTGAGTAATGAAGTACTCTATTGAGTAATGAATGACTCTATTGTGTAACGAAGTACTCTGTTGATCAATGGATTACTCTGTTTGAGGCCATATAAATATTCTTGAGTGGGCATACATAGTTGGGTAGTTAAGGATCTATACAGCAAATTGGTTGTTGCATATATACAATTTAATTTGGATTGACATGTAAGAAGGTGCTAAAGACATCAAACTGAAAGATAGGCCACTTTCTATTGAATGCAAAAGTAAATAATATTCTTAGATCAATGCCATGAAAGAGTGATCCATTGGTGCAGGCTGCCAGATTTTAGTTGACAGAAATAGAAGATGATCTTGGGTTTAATTTATCACTGCGATCCAGAGATCAATGCAACTTAGATATAGAAAAAAAAAAAGAAGAATCTGAAGAAGACTAAAGCTTACATCGATACAATCAGAGGTACCAAGTGTCGACTAGAAGAGGATGAAGGGAATTTCTATATATGGAAGAGAAAGGATTCCTTAAGATCAATCAGATAGAGGTGAGGAGCCTAGATCTACCTAGATCTACTTGGGCACGACTCTGATACTATGTTGAAGAATAAATGAAACAGGAATCAAGTATTCCACAAGATCTTTATACATACTCAAGTGGTACATAGCAGCCTATATATAGAACAGAGAGTGGTATATATGCAAATACAGTTCCTAATTAGGTTGTCACAATCCCGTAACAGAGAAATATTTGGTAAGTTTTTATGTTAATAAGTTTTTATGTTAATATGGTTATACGGGCTGAGTTCATGTCTGACCCAACATTGACCTGATCAAAAATTGCTTAACTTGTACCTCACCTGAATATTAAACATATCAGAAACTCTAACACTAACAAATTCGAGTTAATTTCAGGTTGGGGGTTCATAATCGGGTCAATTTGGGTTGGCAAATCAATTTTGAGTCGATTCTCGGTTGCCTGAACCAGACTCGAAAAATTAAACACCTATACTTGACCCTGAAAATAATCAAGTCAAACTGGAACGAGATTTTTTTAGTCGAATTCGTATTTGCCTGTAAGGTCAATTTTTAACACCATTATTTTTAAGATAGTTACCATACTTCTGTCTAACTATGACTTTTATATTGCCTTGCAAATGTTCTTATGATTACAATAAGTTTTTTACAATTATATCTACTAGAGTGTAATAACTGTAACAAATTTTTTATGCAACTTTTTCAAGAAGAAAAATACTATTACACTTGCAACAACTTTAAAAAATCTATTTTTCTTAACGTTAGATTTACAACCATTTTTACAAACAATTACATTCATCCTAAACGGACCCTAAAAAAGAAATGAGATCACACATTCCACCATACACAAGAATGGTTAGAACTGATTCAGGGATCAGCATGTTAGTAGGGTCAAACATTCAATAATTATAACTTGTATGAGAATACTGCATGTTACATCAAAAGGATGCCAACAAACATGCATTCTCCATAATTATTACCTCCTGTTTTGTTGGCACCATACAATGATAGATGCAAAGTTGGCCAGCATTCTGAACCAATGTCATGCATTTGCTGCTCCATCATCCCAGCACTATTATCCCTTTTATTTCTTTTTGTGGGGAACATTTACATAAATAACACACAATTCTTTCGTATTTATATATTTAATATCTAGATATTTGTATTTCCATGCATATCGGTCAAATCTTTAACATCAAATCAAAAATATCATTGTCAGTCTTTTTAAAAATGAAATAAACATTTTCATGCATGAGTTTATTACACTTAGTTGTTATAAGTGTAAATATCAAATTTTGGATGTCAGATATGTAAATGCATAAGAATTGTGTGGTATGTGTGAAAATTTCCCCCCTTTTTTTTTGGACAAAAGACCAAATTCAAATCACTTAACTATCAAACGTTCGTGTAAGAGAAAACAAAATATGGGTCAGACACCAGTCGAGTTTGGACCACCACTTCATTTTCATATCTTGGATGCTTCCTTTACAAATTTCCCACGGCAGATCCAGAAAGTTTTATGAGGAGCGCACCAGAAAAAATTACATTATTGTCATGTAAATTCATCCTAATACGTATTTAAATTAAACGCACCAAGAATCTATCCCATCAATTTTCATTAATCACTTTAATAATAATGTCTAACATAAATAACCATATCTTAATCAAATATGCTTTGTGTCAAATCAAAACATAAACAAAACAAAAAATAAATAAAATAAGAAATAAAAAATAAAAAATAAAAGTGATCCTAAATGACCCGTTATAGTTTATCTTAATAGCCGGCTCTAAATTGTTAGAACAATAGCAAAGAGAATCCTTAAAATCATAGCTAAGAAAACCATGAAAAGAGGAGATAATACATAATGTTAAAAAAAGAGAAATGTCAAGTGGAGAGAGCTTAGAGTTCTGCTGCTCCCATAACATGACATGTGTGAAACCCACACACACGCACAGTATATATCTTAATATATATATATATATATACTAGAGAGAAAATTAAAGTTGAAGTCAAACTTTTTATCGGAGGCTTCCACTATCAATTTTAGAGAGGAAATAAGCTAAAGGAGGCATGATGATGCGCCTCCTACCCCTTCCTTCTTAAAGTCACCACCTGCTCTTCCTCTGGAAGACACAAAAAGAACTAGTACAGAATCAAGAGAGCTCACCCATCATACACTTGTAATTCTTCCATGGCCAGTGGGTCTTCCTCTTCATGTGACCACTCAGTAGAAGAAGAATACATTGACATGGATATGAGCTCAACGAGCTTCTTCTGCTGTCGTGTATCCTCTCCAAACAACAGAGAATTTGAATTCCATCTTTCAGCTAATCCAATATCACATATTGAGACCACCATCTCCTCTGCCGATGAGCTCTTCTACAAAGGAAAGCTTCTTCCTCTCCACTTTTCTCAGCGCTTTGAAATGATAGAAAAATCTCATGAAAATTCTGAAACTGTGTACAGTTTCAAGGCGCTTTCCAGCATTGCCACAGAAAGAGAAGCCTCGTGTAGCGGCAGTTGTGAGCTAAACCGCAATTGTGCAGTCAAATCAGATAAAAAGAAATCAGGTCATAAAAGGATTAGAATCATTAAGCAATTCTTGCTCAAGGTACCAAAAGCTTATTTGAAGTTCCTGATCAACAAAACACGGCGCTTAGAGTCAAATATGGCCAATAAGGAAGGGAAAAGTAACAATGGTGCTGTCATGCAAAGCAGCATTGATAGAGAAGAATTAACAGATGGTTGCATGCAAAGGAATTCCCCACAAATGCTGAAGAAGAGCAGCAGTATGAACTCAGAAATGGAGAATTCAATTCTGGGTGCTATAGCTTACTGTAAGATGTCTCAACAGGTCTGTTCAAGGAAAGGTTTGTAAGTGACAAATATTTTGTTCATTCAAATAAAATATGAAATTATTCCCAATTTGGGTGTCTTTTATTTGGATTTCTGAGCCAAAAAACAATTTTTTTCACTATCATTATCTGAATACTGAATTTCCGAGCCAAGAAAGAACAAAGCTTAGTCATGGAGTTTCACTCTTGAGCTTCTTTTGGATTTAGAATCTGCTTGGGAGGACCATTTTTAAACAGATCTTCATATGCAACAAAAAGAAAAAAAAAATGTGAATTTCTTCTCTGCATATTGTAGCTTTTCATAAATGAGCAATTTGGTTTGGTGGGATCGATTAAAGGTTCTGATTTTTTAATTTAGACAACAGTAATTTAAACGATGTTGTTTTTAAGGATTTGATAAATTTCCGATTTGTCAAGATTTATGCAAATTTTTGTTTGAAAGGATACTTCAGATCAATTTTGACCAAAATTGAGCCAAATTTACGAAGCATGGTGGAGGAGGAAAGTGACAGGAAGAAAATGATATATATACTCAACTAACAATGATCGCTAGTTAAATAAATATTGATTGATCGCTAATGACACACTTGTGTTTAATAGTAATTTATTTATAAAATGAATATAGTTTACTAATCAGTTAATAACTTAATTAATAATAACATAATTATTAAATTAGTTAGTTTTCTCGATCATGGTTTACATTTTACAACTCATGGAGTCAAGCCAAGTTTTGAATTAGGAATACAATCAAGACTTGGAACTTCATTTTGAAACTCTTTCAACTTAAACCCTCACAAAATAAGTATGGTGGATGGGCAAAATCAAAATGCAAATGTTATAATGATGATGTCAATGAACTTGAAGTAGAAGCATTATTAGGATTGAGAACAATACATCATACAAAAATACAAAAAGATAAAAGATGAGATTTACATGGTTCAACTTCAACCAAGCCTATGACTAAGGGAGACTGAGAAAGGACCTAATCCACTAACAACAAACAAAAAACATAATTATAATGCACAAAAAAGAAGCATCCAATAGTCCTTCATGATAATAACCTATTGTTGAAATTTTATCTTCTTTTGAGGGTAAATAAAAAATATAGGAGAAGTCTAGTGGTTATTTATAAAAGATTTGTATAGAAGCCCAACTTCATTCATGAATGAAGGAAAACAGCTTTTTACCAATGCAATTTTCCATATTTCTTCGTGGTTTCAGAGCCAACATTTCCGCTGCTCAATCGGCGATGGCGTGCTAGCTGAGGAAAATAGGGATGGGATCGACAAAACGGTGGAAGCTTTTGGGAACTGCAAAGGAGAAGCAAGCTAGGGCTTCGATGGAATCCAGAAGCTTACACAGGAGACGGTACAGGCGAAGGGGACCGTGGCTCTGTCGTGCGGAACGACGAACAGAATCGATCGCGGAAGGAGAAGAAGGGCTTCGATCGCAGAAGCTGTCGTGCGGATCGATTGCTGAAGCAAAACGGTGCAAGGCGACTGGGAAGGAGGCGGCGCTTAACCTAAATGTGATGAGGAGAAGGCGACGCTTAACCTAAATACGATGAACAAGCTGAAGGGAAAAAGTCGTGGTCACTTTCGTTCTAGCTTAGTCATGAGTTGCAGTAGAGCAAGATGAGGGCATGGGCTGGGAAGGAGGAGAATGTGGAGAAGATGCGGGCGGTTTTTCTCTTGAAATGTAAGTTTTGAAGGAAAACTAGGTAGCTGGTAGAAGCGATGTGAGGGAAGTAGGAAGCATGGATCTTCTGAGGCTTGTCATGGAGCACCACAGAACTAAAGTTGATGCTATGATTACTAGATTTGGCAATGTGTGGATTATGATGGAAAGCGATGCAGGGCAACCTTTTGGATCTCGATTTGTGACTTTTGCTAACATACATGCAATACATGCAATTGAGAATGCAATCAAGGAGATGTATGATAAAAATTTGAATGGTCAAAAAATATCAGTGAAAGTCAAATCAAAGGTGGGTTCGGATGATTCAGGCTATAGTTGTAGTGGTGATGGCTACTCGTCTAGTGGAGCAGATGGAGATAAATTCTCTTCTCATTTTAGAACTAACAGAGGTGAAAAATGATGTTATCGGGAGAATAAGATGGTAGCAAAGAACGAGGGAAAGACATTGGTAGTTTTTACTGATAAGGATCATGAGTTATTGGAGATGTTGGAGATGAAGCAAAGAGCAGCAGGTAATGTGTCAAAGGATGTATTAACCTTCTCGTCATCCAAAAAGAACACTGCTAGTCATGCTCACTTGGCCATAGATACTTGTGATACACATGCTCTTGCCTTAATATCCACTACAAGATCATCAGAATCGATAGTAGCATTTGGTGTATCTCGACATGTGACAGGTGTCGCTAGTGAGTTCTCTTCCTACACTCATTTAGTAGTTCCAGAGAGAATTGAGACTGTTGATGACATAACAGTCTGTGGTTGGTAAGGATATAGTGATGTGTACGAATACTATTACTTTGTCTAATATTTTACATGCTTCTTTCTTTCCAAAAAACTTTTTTTTTTCATTAGCTCCATTATACTTCAATTAAATTGTATTGTTCCATTTGATATTCCAAAAAGTGATCTTTCAAGCGAATGGGACTAGTCGGAGACTTGGGACTGACACATGACATAGTGGACTCTGGTATTTGGATAGAGAGGGGATGGACTTGGCTTTGTCATCCATGATTGAGAATTGGAGTAGGAGGTTCTGAGAGGAGTGTAGAGGATGTTTTGCAACTCCATCACATGTGCATGAGACAATCTTCATTTAGTTTATTGAGTCGTTTGTATACAACCTTATATGAAAAGACAAATAAACAGAAACTTGTGTGTGATGTTTGTGATTTTGGTAAGCATACCAGAAGCTCTTTTGTTAGTTTTAGAAAAAGGAGTTCTTATGTTTATGATTTAGTGCACTCGGATGTTTGGGGACTTTGTTCTACAACTTTCATGAATGTTTATAAATATTTTGTGTCTTTCATCGATTGTTTTTCTTGTGTTAATTGATTACATCTGATGAGAAACAAAAGTAATGTGTTTGCCTGCTTTAAAGACTTTCACAAGGCAATTCAGACTCAATACGGTGTTGTAGTGAAGGAATTGATATATGATAATTGGACAGTGTACCAACAATGTATTTGTGTAATACTTGTCAGCCTGAGAGATACAACATCAAATCACATGTTCATACACAGCAACACAAAATGAAGTAGCTGAGAGGAATAATAGACGCCTTCTAAAGGTAGCTCGGAGCATGATGATCACTATGAATGTCTCAAAGCACTTATAGAGGTAAGTGATTTTGACAGCAGCTCAATTGATCAACAGAATATCCTCAATTGTGTTGGATTGGAAGTCTCCTTATTAGATGTTGAAAGAAGATAATGATGGAATCATCCCATTGAATGTTTTTTTGTTGTGTATATTTTGTGAATGACAACTGACCAACAGTAGGGAAACTAGATCCTAGAGTTGTGAAGTGTGTTTTCGTGGGTTGTTTTGCTACCAAAAAGGGGTATGTTTGTGGAGTCTGATAGAGAAGAGACTGTTTGTGAGTATGGATGTGTCCTTTAGAGAGTTTGAACTGTATTACACTCTGGAGGTGATCTCACCCTTTAATGACTCATCAAATGTTGGAGGTATGAGACATGAGGGGGAGAGTAATGATGGTCAGAGATTGGTGCATGTGGGAATGATGCCTTGTCCCATTGTGTGAGAAGGATCGACTAAGGAAGAGCAAAAAAAATGAATACAATGAGGCTGAAGGTGGAGGAATTCAAGCTCAAATGGAGCTGAGAGTGGATACAAGGAGGAAAATCCTGAATGAGGGAACAATGTATGTCGTGCCACTCATCCCACCAAGTTTGGGAACAACGTATGCCATGCCACTCGTGTCATCATGTTCCTTGTCCTGGTCTACCCTTACTCCTGAAACACCTACACATTCTACTTTAGAATTTGATTGCCTAGATAATATGATTCCTCTCGCTTCTCCTCTCACTCTCAATTCTTTAAGGAGTACCTCTCGCAGTAATGTGATTCATTCTCCTGATCGTTATTTTCTTGATTATTTTGGTTTCTCACATGACATTGCTTAGTTTGTTTCATATTCTAACATATCATCTATATACAGAGCATTCATTAAATATTTAGATGTTGTCTCTATACCCAAGTGTTGGCAAGTAGCTAAGGAGAATCCAAAGTGGAAGGTTGCCATGTTGGAGGAACTTAGTGCTCTTGATAAGAATAGGATGTGGGAGATAGTACAATTACCATCAGGCAAAACAATAGTTTGGTGCAAGTGGATCTTTACAGTAAAACAAAATACAAAAGGGAAAGTGAAGTGTTACAAGACACAATTGGTGGCAAAAGGATACAGTCAAACATATAATATTGATTATGACGAGATATTTGCACCAATAGTGAAGATGAGCACAGTGAAGACACCAGTTTCTCTAGTTGTGAATGGTTGGTGGAGGTTACACCAACTTGATTTGAACATTGCTTTTCTTCATGGTGAGTTACTGGAGGAGGTGTATATGAACATACCATCAAGATTCAGTACAGTTCATAAAGTGGGTATGGTGTGCAGACTTTACAAGTCGCGAAGTCGCTTTATAGCTTGAAGCAATCTCCTCGAGCCTGTTTTGACAAGTTTAGAAAAGTTATGGTAGGCATGGGATATCAGTAGATCAATGTTGACCATACGATATTTTTTCGTCAAAATGATGGTCGCATTACATTGCTTGTTTTGAATGTTGATGGCACGATTATCATTAGTGAAGATATGACAGAGATTGCTCAACTAAAGGTTAGATTGGGCAAAGATTTTTAAGTGAAGGACCTTAGATGGCTCAGATACTTCTTTAGGATTGAGGCGGCTCATGAATCAAAGGGGATGGTCTTATCTCACAGAAAGTAGTACAACATCTCATCAAATAAATCGACATATTGGGATACAAGCCTGCAGTCTCTCCATTTGATTAGAAGATCAAGCTGAGTGCAGATGCGATAAAGTTAGTTGATCGTGAGAGATACCAAAGATTGGTGGCTCATCTGATTCATCATTATCACACTCATCCCAAAATCTCATTTACAGTGTGGTGAGCTGATATATGCATGATCCAAGGAAGGGTCATGTTGATGATGTGTATCATATTCTGAGGTACATGAAGAGAGCATCAAGGAGGGCCTGATCTTAAGGAAAAACGGGCACACATACGTTGAGGCCTATTGAGATGTTGACTAGGCTAGTTGTGTTGATGACAGAAGATCCACCTCATGATACTACATGATCGTAGGTGGCAACTTAGTCTCTTAGAAGAGCAAGAAATAATCTGCAGTAGCAAGGTCAACAATAGAGACAAAGTATAGGGCCATGGCCTTAGGAGTTGCCGAGATGATGTGGCTAAGAGCCTTGTTGGTTGAGCTCAAAGTGGATCAAGGAACTCAAATGAAGTTGTGGTGTGACAAAAAGTCAACAATCAACATTACCAACAACTCAGTTCAGCACAATAGAACCAAACATGTGGAGATTGATAGATTCTTCAATAAGGAAAAGTTGAATGATGGGCTACTGGAGCTAAGTCGTGTATCCACGAGCGAGCGAGTGGCTAACTAGCTCACCAAAGGACTTAGTTCATTAGATTTGTCTAGATTATATGACAAGATGGGCTTAGTGGATA